AGTTCTGTTCTTTCCTATCGGGTCCTATGACTTGGAGTTGACTTGATGGCAATAGGTTTTCATGATGCTGGCTTCTGTTTGAGACATTAAGGTGTACCAGATAAATCCTAAACATAAGTTCACAGTTTAATCCTGGAATGGGAGGCATTGATACAATCATTATAATGTAGATCAGGGGAGAATAGTACTACATAAAGGCACAAAGAGATGTTTGATGGTTCAGAACATGGATCGTGGATGTAAGTCTAACTCTCTTACCAATCTGGCTGCACTGCAATCCACTGGCTCTTTCTCATGGCCCTCTGCTTGTTTCCCCATAATTCTTACCTCTTGTTCTGTTCTTTTACCTGATCCATACCTGTTCATCCCATCAAACTGAACTCTCTCTGAGGGGGAAGAGATTTGCTTGTCTGCTGACTGCCACAGTTATAGAGCTTGACACATTGTTTGGCACACTTTAGATGGTCAGTAAACATATGGAAAGGATGAGAGAAACCAATAAATAATGTTTGCTGTGTATATGGGTCTGTGTGTCTGTGTATGTGCACATGTACAGATTACTATGCGTATGTGTAGGGATGTGCATATTTGTGGGTGTTGTGTGTCTTGTTTTGCATGGAGCAGTTTTAACCTTTATTCTAAGCTCTCCATGCCTAATGCTAGATTCAGGCCATGATTGTATGCTCACAATATGGGCACACCAGAAATCTGTTTCTAGTGGGGTCTAAGGAACCTTCTGGGAAATAATTCATGTCCTGGGGCAAAGGAAACAGGAAGACAACCTCAAGACAGTATCCAACATTTCATGGGTTAGGAGGTGAAGCATTTCTGTGCTTGTCATGCTGCATTCCTCTTGGATGGGTTTAATGGACCTGATGCTCATGGTCCCCCTAACGATCTTGACACAAACATGAAAGATTGCGCCACTCCATCACTTTGGCACAGAACTTTAGCACTTTAAAGGTATTGGCACATCAGCACATGATATGGGAAGCCAAAGCAGTGTGTGGCAGAGAAAGACATACAAATGGCAGATTGAGTACACATGACAATTATAGATGGTCTCTTATGCAATTTATGAAGCTGTAACGAGATAAAGATATAGCAGTTACACTTTGGTAGCTTAGTATTTTGCTCTTGGTTAGCTGAAGCTAAATGCTTCATCTACATCCTTTTCTTCAGCCCTCATTGGAATCATATAAAGGAGATATTGCTAACCAGCACCAACCTCACGTGGAAGCAAGTGGGATTCCTAACCCTGGTGTTGTATGTAAGGGCACCCAGGGCCTTGGCGAGTTGTTCTCAACATTTTGAGTCCCTTTCTGATGGTACACTTGACTTGGGGAAACACTGGCATCTGGCCAAGGCTTCTTGAATTAGGTCTGTGACCCATGTAAATAAGTGTCACTGTTTCTTCCCTTCAAAGCACTCCCTTGCCTTCTATCTTGCGTATGAGGTTGAGTCCATAACCCAAGAAACTCAAGACTGTAGTCATCCTGGGGCGGTGGGACCTCCCTCATTTCAGGAGGGCCTTTTGATAAGCAAATTCCTCCCCCAGGGCAGCATAAGATTTCATTCATATAATAACATGAGATTGGAATACCAGAGTAATTTGAATCCTACTACTTTGGGCGGCCTTTTTTAATATATGTAAACAGACCTTTGAAAGAAATGTTTTCACAGCGTTACATACATGGGGGGCATTTTTTTTCTATTAAAATGATTTAAGATGAGTAAATAAGAACAGACTCCCAACAATTTTGTGAAAAAAATATTATCCTTTTTTCATTAAATGATGTTTTAATTCCATTTCCCCCACAATTTTTTGAAGCCTCCTTCATGTACTACTGTTGTAGATAAGACATATGGAACTCGAGGTTTCACAGTCATGAAATAGGAACTATCGAACGCAACTTTCTAGAAAAGGCATTTTAATTCTAGCTCTGCACTTATTATTTTATACAAAGTACATAGGTACTCTCAAAATAAGTTGGAGAAGTTAGAAAAGGTAACCTAGATCTGGCCATAGGAGGGGAGAAGGGAAAGAAGCAGACACAATTCAGGGAAATTTAGCATTCAATGCCATTATACATAAATGTGTGATACCACTGGTGAGGCTGTCAGAACCAGTGTTTGCTCGCTCACTGCGGGGTTCAAACCCACCAGCTGTTCCGATGTGGACGGATGAGGCAATCTGCCCTTGTGAAGATGTACAGCCTCCGTGGCTGTGAGTTGAAATGGATACAATCACGGTGGCTTTAGGGTGTGAATACTAGGGCTGTTCTCGCTGCGAGATGGCGTCTCTACCCGGATAGATCTCCAGGCGTTAAAGGAAGAGAACGCCTGGAGGGAACCATTGGAACTTCATTCCTCTGAACGCCATACAAAGCTTTCACTTATTTTCAAGAGAAGGAAAAGGTCCTATGTTTTCTGTCTTCATCTCAGGGCTCGTGTAAGACGTACTTGAAAATGCTTCTATTTAGTGTTTTGGTTCTCGTGGGAACATGAGGGAAAGTGAATAAAAATCTCCAATTTGTTTAACGAGGAAACAGGACCTACATGTTCTTCTCGGGTGTGGTGAGTCAAGTGTTGGTGGGTGAAATTTCCCTTCTAGGTGGGTGTATAAATGCCTGTACGTGCACAAGCGGCTTTCACATATTGTGTGCCAAGTGGAAATTACTGGCTCAGGAATTTCCCGGATTTTCCTCTTCAGTGATAAACTCCAGGTAAATATCACAGATAGCTGTCATGAAGCTGGCTGCTGTCTTCGTGGTGGTGATCATCAGCGTCTGCAGTTACTCGGGTAAGGCACCTGGGGTAGGTGATCTTTCTTCCCCCTCTGGTAATAGGACTGGGCCACTGTTGGTGGACTGAGGCCCACCGATGGTGAAGCTGGTAGGTCTAGGGGAGGGGTTTCCAGAACCATGGAATAGCAAGAATGGCAGGGATTTCCGATACCGCCCACTACCAAGCTCTAACTCAATACAAGTTCCTCTCCAAATGCATCCTGTGTAAGAAGTGAGCCACCGAGGGCCAAGAAAGCCCATTTCAATTATTGTCTACAATCAGTTTTCCTTAATCTTGGACCAACATTGAACTTCGTAACTGATTTCTTTTGTAATTTTGTAATTATATGGAGTCAGTCACTCCCCATCACCTCCAACCCGTCCGTTCTCCTGAGGCAGAGCTACACTGATCTATTCCACCACTGAATCGATACTTCACGAGTGACTGTCACTTGGCTGATACTGCATAAGTATGGAAAGATCAATCAGGCACGAATCCGACATAAGTATTCCTAGGTCTGATGGGAAAAATAAAACTCTCCAGAAGTTTCCAGAGTCAACGGAAGTGAGACACACACACACACACACACACACACACACACACACACACACGTGTCTTTGTGCGTATTGAGGGCATGCAGGCTCAATTTCCAGGTGCAGCTTTAGAGTATGACTTCCTGGAGGAGTGTGGGAACGGATCCTTCTCTGTGGAAGGTATTTTTGTAGCTGGGAGGAAGCTGTATTTGCGAGCATCTGAATAATGCTTTGTGATGAGCACTGCTCACTCTGAGAAGGGCAAGCCTTAGCGCGTACGCAGAGAAGCCAACGTTTCTAAAGCACGAAGTAGACAGACTGATTCTAAGAAAATGTGTGCTTCCCACACAGCTTTGACTTGTGCCTCTTATCCATATTTGGGAAAATCAATAACTTCACTAGTTTGGGTTATATTATTGCTCTTTAGTATCCAGGAAGCTATTCTATAAGCAAGGGTGGCCACAGATCAAAAAGCAGAAAGGAGCTAAACATCCCCTGTTGAAAAGAAAGTTCAGAATGGAGCTGAGTGGTAGAAGATGAAGGGAAAATGGGCACACAGGTACCAGTGGGAGGGTTTGAATGGGGAAATTAAGAAAGGAGGCTAAAAGAACATGACCGATGACAGGACTGTAACCAGGAGGTATCTGTTCCTGTATGTGCACTCACACCTATGTTTCTGTAAAATTACACAGCACACATATTTTCCCAAACTCTCCTTTTTATGTCTTCTAGACTCACCTCTTCTCGTTGAGAAGACTCTAAAACCCAAGGTAGAAACTGTAATTGTTGCATTTAAAAGGATTGGTAGTTGCCCATTGCACCCAAGAAAGGATCCAAACCTTGGTTTGGCATCCTGGGCTTTCAGAATCTGATCCCATTGGTTTTTGCAGACTCAGTTCATTTACCTTTTCCTTCCTGCCGTGCTTTACTGGGTTCCTGCGCTCCTACTACTGTGGTTAGAAGGCCCACCATTCTGTGCTAGCACTGTCACCATAACATCTCAGTGCCTTTGTTTACCCCGTGCCTGAAAGGTTGCTCTGCTTTTGACCTTGTGATTCTGATGTTTGCCTAAGATACAGCGCCATCAGCACATTTTCTGAGCTAGTTCCTGCAATACCCGTCCATAACACTCTTCCACGTTATAAGTCATCATCCCCTCCTTTGTATATCAACAGAGCAATGGTCCACAATGCTAGCACAGCACATGCTGTCTTGTAGTCTTCTTTGACCTTGATTGACTGCTTGCCTGTGTGCGTTCTCAAAGAGGAACATCTGGCCTTATTCTCTATGTATGGGTAGCAATCTGCATAGGTGGGTGTCTATGAATGTGGAATTAAATTGAATTGGTTGAGAGCAATTGAGTCCTCGGGCCTGGGACTGGGTTCATTTGTGCCCGAGTGGAGTTCTCTGATGAGGTCTTTTACTTGGCCTACAAGCTGTGGGCCGTGGCATCAGAATGAGACTCCCCATGTTTAAAAGTAGCCAACTGCACAACACAGACCAACTCAACCGACTGCCAATAGTTCCCGAGTACTTACTACATGCCAGCGGCTATTCTCAGCATGGGGCACAGCTGTGAACCCAACGTAGTTTTTCTGTTCACAGAATCGACATTCCAATGAGCAGGTAAAGTCCATACTAATGACCGAGTTAATATTTTAAGCAATGCCCGGACTCCGAAGAAGAAAAAGCAGAAAGAAAGAGAGAGGGTTACAGGCAGCCCTGTTTTAGATGCCAGCGTCATCACAGTCCTCTGTAGGAGGGAACACTTGAGGGCAAATAAAGTACGTGAGGAAAAGCAAACGTGCAGCTCGCTGAGGAAAGCACGTTTTAGGGAGTTGGGACAGCAGTGCTAAGACCCTGAGGGGGATGTCTCCCTGGACAGTGAACACCAGAGGGGCTGGAATGAGGCTCTCGGTGGGCAGAATGGCAATGGGGAGGCCATCGGAGGCAGATGAGCCCCCTTCCCTTGCCTTCTCTGCTGTTGTGCAGCAAGCGCTTTCCTCTTGAAGTCACTCCTCCCTGTGAAGGATGTCTTACCCCCCTTACCTGTGGACAGCCTGCTCACCTTCGATCCACTGAAGCTCCTGCTGAAGACACTGGGCATTTCCGTGGAGCACCTGGTGGAGGGGCTCAGGAAGTGTGTGAATGAGCTGGGCCCAGAGGCCTCGGAAGCTGTGAAGAAACTGCTGGTAACTACCCATTTGGGACCTGGGGGTTCCTCTGTCACTGGGGAGGGATTAGTCTCCAAGAGTCACCCCTTTCCGCAGCCCACTCCCACCTCCTCCTGTCCACACTTGTAACCATAACTGACTGTCCTCACAGAAAGTTCCTAGGTCCTGGAATCTCAAGGAAGAGTGTAGCTTCTACAGTTCCAGAAGTATTGTGTGTTATAGTTGGGGCTTAGGAGCCTTAGTGGTCTAGTGGTTCACATTGGCATGCTAACCTTAAGGTCGGTAGTTCAAAACCACTAGCCACTCTGTGAGAGACGTTAAAGACTCACAGTCCCAGAAACGCACAGGTGCAGTTCTGCTCTGTCCTAGAGCCACTAGGAGTCGGCCTCAACTCCGTGGCAATGAGGGTTTTTTGGTCTTTTGTTAGTGATGGCTTTCCCAGCTACCAGCTCACTGGTCCTGGATGAGATTTCAACACTGAGACGTTGCTTCCCCGGCAGTCATTTGGTCACCGAGTGAACATAGTGGGTAAGCTGCTAGTTCTGGGCATGCGGCCCTTGTTTTGACTGCTGTCTTTCTACTTTTCAGGAGGC